TGCATAGCGTGGCCATGTGATCTACACGCTTGCGTGTAGTAGTGACGCTGATCTGTCCACGCCCAGCCTTTAAAATCTGGCACCATGTTCCCGGTTCCTTCTTCTTCTCCACACACGTGCTTCCCGCAGGCCTGTTCACTCTCTGTCCCTTTAATAAAACTCTTGTTAGCGGATTCTGTCGTGTTTCATGGCATTTCCTTGCAGGGTAAGAACAAACGCAGCCGAAAAACTAACATTGGATGACCACTGTTATGTGCTTCTAGAGAAATAAATCTTTGAAAACAGTTCATTAGACAGGGGGCTGTAGCTCATAAGATGAAACCAAAGATTAGGGGACACAGTGGGGAACCTAGCCAGGGTAGCCATTGTCCTAATGTGGACCTAGTGACCGAGTGACGGCAGTGATTTGATCTTGGGAGAACTTCATTTAAAAGTTTAAAAGACAGGATGAAAGCATAAGTGTGAGGATAATAAGGAGAAAAGGAGTGATGAAGAGGAGGAGCCTGAGAGGGAGCAATCCCAAAGCACATCTGTAGAAGGAGGCTTGTCATTGACTTTTTTCTCTGTTCCTTAAGTCTGCATTTGTTGCAGTTTGCATTTGTTGACACAGAAGCAGCATTGTTCCTGGAGGAGGGCTTAAATCCCACCATTAGCAGTAGTCAGGAGACCTAGTCCTCTTTAATTTGGGATTATTGCATCAACCAAAGGATCAATCTGGAATTTCTTTAAAGTTTTCTGAGAGCTGGTGAGACAGGGAGGTTAACTGATTCAAGGAAGCCCCTCAGTCCAGCTGTTTCAGTTCTGCACAGCTGGATGAAAGCATAACACACATCGTACACAGTACACAGCACTTCATACTTCTCATAAGCACACCACTGCTTTATGTATTTACTATACCGTAGTTCAATATTTTAGAAAATATCCCCTTTACATGTAAATATAAACACAGCAAGAGATCCATGTGGCCGTTACGCCTTTGGCAGCCTGTGCTTCATATCCATTGTGTCTCAGTTGCAGCAATGGACCTATGGGGTAAGGGAGTACACTGCCCTGCCATGGTGGGTTGAAACCCTTATGAAGTATGTCCCCTTGTGAATCTTTCCTCCCTGAGGTGTTTCTCTTGGGCCCTTTGTCACAGTGATGAGATGGGTAACTAATGCATCATCCTACTGCATTTTCCGGTTACTAAGTTGCTGAAATCTTTTTCCAGAAGTTGCTGAAATCTTTTTCCAGTTCCCGATCTTAATGAGAAAGCTTTGTATTTCTCACCATGGAGAATGGTGCTGCCGTTGGTGTTTCAAGTATGTTGTTTATCAAGCTGAAGTCATTTCCTTCTGTTCTTAGTTTGCATCTATTAATGTAATCATGTTATTTATCGTTTTAGACAACTAGTGTGTTAAACTGCATGAATTGATTTCATTTTTTGCAGTTTTATGTTTTTAACTGGCCCATAATTGTATACATACGTGTGATGTGGTATCATATTCCAATACATGTGTATAGTGGGTGTTGATCACATTAGGTCCTTACTCTATCACCCCACAAACACTTATTGTTTCTTCATGATGAGGACATTTAAAATCTTCTTCCAGCTACATTGAACTTGCATACCTGAGAGAAATCCCACTTCATATTGCTATATAATCATATAGAAGCATGGTGGTATTGAGTCTGCAGTACTTTGTTGAGGACTTTTACATGTATATATTAGGATAATAATCTGTAACTTCTTTGTCTGGGGTGAGTCTTCCCACCTCAGCTAAGATAATCTAGACCATCACGGCTTTGTGTCTTTGGTGGTTCTAGATCCTGTCTAGTTGAAAATCAGTGTTAACCATCTCAGTAACTCTTTCTTACGTTACACAGATACTAAATGGCAGAGCTGTCTGCCATCCACATTTAGGTCTACCTCTAATCTATTTACCATTCTGCTGAGCAATTCCCTGTAGTAACAAATGGAGCTGTCCATTTCCTTTTAACTGTAGTGTAGGCTATTAGGTTATCAACACTCTCTAAGAACTATGAAGATTTTATATAGCAAAAATAAAGAAATTGCATAAAAATGTCCATTCATAAAATCAACTCCTGCATAAAATGTCTAGATACTTATAAGCATTTATCAGAATGGTATTAATAAAATGAAAGCTATCAAACATTCACAGAACCAGGTTGTTTTTGTTTTGTTTCTGTGGTAAACAACATGACTAAAAGCAACCTGGGTAGGAAGGGGTTTATTTGACTTACACATCCCAATCACAGGCCATTATTGAGAGGACAAGACCAGAGCTAAAGCAAGGCAGGAACTGAAGCAGAAGCCATGGAGGAGTGCTTCGTACTGACTTGCTCCCCATGGCTTGCTTGGCCTTCTTTCTTATGTAACCCAGGACCACCTGACTTAAGGGTGCCCACACAAAGTGGGCTGTGCCCTCTCACCATAATCATTAATCAAGAAACCGCCCTACAGATTTCCCTGTAGGTCAATCTGATGGAGGCATTTTCTCAGAAGAGGTTTCTTCTTCCCAGATGACTATCAAGTTGACAAAAACCTAACCAGCACAAAGGTATTGTGCAACATTGTGCAAAACACAATCATGTGTCAAGCAATATTGTTGCCTTACTTGAAAATACACGCAATCTTTCCTTTCTAGTCTTCCTGCTCCCACCCCTTAAACAATCACAATGTGAAGTGCACGATGGCCTGTAGCCTGCTGTGGAATACAGGCTTGCCTGAAATCAAAGTGATCCTTGTACCTAATCCTCCAGGTACTGGGATTACAATAATGAGCCAACAAACCCAATCAACAGTGTTTTCTCAAGTATTTATAACAGGTCTGACAGACACTGAACACTACCGAACTATAAATAAAGCTGACTTACAAATCTCACTGTAGGAAATATGGAAGAAGCAAAGACTGAGCGCAGTAGAATTAAAGATAGATTACCATATGACCAATCTTTGTTCTTCCCAACCATGTACCCAGACGACTTCACAGCTCACCACAGAGATACTTGAACATCCACGTTACAGATGCTCTATGCACAATAATGAAGAAATGCCATCAGCCTAACCATCCATCAAAGGATGAATGAATAACGACAATGTTATAAAAAAAAGACACAGTAGAATTTTATTCATCCATATAGAAAAATGAACTTTCAGGAAAATTCACAGGTCTGGAAATTATTGTATCAAGTGAAGTAGCCTAGACTCAGAAAAGCTAATACCACATATTGTCTTTCATCTGAAGATCCTAGATTTTAATTTATAGACTTTAATTTATACATGTATTATATAATCTATTTAAGTTATATATATATATATTATTTTTAAATTTACATACATACATAGAATATATGTAAAATGTGTGGAGTGTGGGAGTGTGAGAGAGAGGGAGGCTATGAAACCAGAAAGGGGTCCATAGGAGGACAACAGAGGCTTTGTGAAATACATGGACATGATAGGGAAGTAGAAATGTATGAGGAGAGTTACCACACCTCCTAATCTTTCTAATCCTATGAAGTAGTGCCACTCCCTGCTGATTAAGTATTCAGATACTTGAGTCCATGGAGCCATTCTTATTCAACCACCATAAACCTAAACTGGAATCAGGGCAGGAACTCAAATAGGGAAGGAACTCAACAGTCAAGAAAAGATGCAGTGGACATGGAGGAGTATTGCTTTTTGGCTTTCTCTCCATAACTTCTTTATACTTTCTCTCTTTTTTTTTTTTCATTTTTCTTTATTAGGAAATTTTCTAATCACTCCACATATCATCCACAGATCCCACTGTAGATGTAACCAACCGTCTTATTAAATAAGAAACACAGAACCAATGCAAAGAAGAAAGCCAAGAGATCAGAGCTAAGAGCCTTACCCTGCAGCTAGCCTCTTAAGCCAAGAGACCTCTCCGAAAAAAACCTACTTCCTGTATGTTTGTCTTTATATAGTCTTTCTGTTCTGCCTTCTCATTGGTTGTAAACCCAAACACATGACTGCCTCGTCACTGCCTGTCTGTAGAGACTTCCAGGTCTTCTATGGTTGGGATTGAGATTAAAGGCGTATGTCTCCAATGCTGGCTGTATCCTTGAACACACAGAGATCTACCTAGCTCTGTCTACCAAGTGCTGGGATTAAAGGTGTGCGCCACGACTGCCATGCTCTTGCTATGGCTCTAATAGCTCTGACCCCTGGGCAACTTTATTTATTAACATAAAATTAAAATCACATTTCAAGACAAATAAAATACCACCATATCCCACCTCCTCCCTCCTCCCACCCCCCAGCCCTCTCTCCCAAGCCACCCCACATCCCCCAAATCAAGGTCTCCCATGGGGAGTTTGCAGAGCCTGGCACACTGAGCCTAGGCAGGTCCAAGCCCCTTCCCACTGCACCAAGGCTCTGCAAGGAGTCATACCACAGGCACCGGATTCCCAGAAGCCTGCCCATACACCAGGGATAGATCCTGATCCCCCTGCCTGAGTGCCCCCCAAACAGCTCAAGCCAAACAACCGTCTTCCATATCCAGAGGGCCTAGTCCAGTCCCATGGGGGCTCCACAGCTACCAGTCCACAGTTCATGGGCTTCCACTAGTGTGTCCCATCATCTCTGCACATCCTCTCATCATGATCTCGACGTCCCTTACCTGCAGAATCCCTCCTCTCTCTCATCGATTGGATTCCCGGAGCTCAGCCTGGCGCCTGGCCATGTATCTGCATCTGCCTCCATCAGTCACTGGACAAAGGCTCTATGATGACACCTAGGTTATTCGCTAGACCGGTCACCAAAGTAGATCAGTCCAGGCACCTTCTGGACCACTGCTAGCAGACCAAGGTGGGGCCATCCTTGTGGACTGAAAGCCTCCCCAGCACCCTGCCTCTTCATATTCCCATGATGTCCTCATCTATCATGGTATCTCCCTCCCTGCCCTCCTACTCTGTCCCTGTTCCAGCTGGACCCTCCTATTTCCCTATGTTCTCATCCCCCACACCTTGCCCTCTGCCACCCCCTCCACTCCCAGTCTGCTCATGTAGCTCTCATCCACTTCTCCGCTGGGTCATCCATGTGACCCTCCTAGGGTCTTTCACTGTTAGCTAGCCTCTCTGGAGCTGTGAGTTGCAGTCTGGCCATCCCTTCCCTCACATCTAGTATCCACTTACGAGTGAGTACATACTATGTTTGTCCTACAGATAGAAGAATTCTTTCAGCAAAAATCTTCACACTGATGTACAAAAAGGAGAAGGTTTGGGATGGGAGATGAAAACTCCCTGTTCTACTACTAGCATGTCATGTGATCATGGGGAAAGCCTCTTCATTTTGGTGAGCTTCAGTTTCCTTAAAAACATAGGGTATAACCAGCTAATGTGTAGGGAACCATTGAGATATGTGTGGTGATATATTGTGTCCCCCAATATATTGTGCACCTTAATAAACTTGTCTGGGGTCAGAGGACAGAACAGCCACTAGATAGACATAGAGGCCAGAAAATGGTGGCACACACGCCTTTAATCCTATCACTTGGGAGGCAGAGATCCATCTAGATCTCTGTGAGTTCAAAGTCACACTGGGAACAGCCAGGCATGGTGACTGGGATTAATCCCAAGAAGTGATGGCAGAAAGGTATATAAGGTATGAAAACCAGGAACTAGAGCTGGTTGAGCTTTTAGGCTTTTGAGCAGCAGTTCAGCTGAGATCCATTCATATGAGGACACAGTGGCTTCCAGTTTGAGGAAACAGGATGGGCTGAGAAGTTGGCCAGGTGAGGTTAGCTGTGGCCTGTTTTGTCTCTCTGATCTTCCAGCATTCACCCCAATACCTGGCTTCAGGTTTGATTTTATTAGTAAGACCTTCTAACAATTCGTGCTACAGATAGGCTTTAATGTATGACAACAGTTATACACAGTAGGTGCTCATTAAGTATTCAACATACAGATTGAACACAGTGGATCTAAGAATTAGATACAGAGAAGAAAAGAACCTCAATTCATGTGGAACAGAATCAGGTTCCTACCTGTCTCATTCCAGAGCTGGTAGGTCTTTGCTTTATCACACTTGTCCCACGCCTAGGGTTCCTGTGATCACTGCAGGTGGGAATGAGACCAGAAGTCAAGCACGAACACAGGCATCTTCTGGGGTGATCACAAGGAAAAGGTGGGTTCAAAGCTAGCCTGTCTCCAGCAGAGGATGCCACACATCAGGCAGTAGGCGGGGCTCCCTCACAGCTGATCTTTGCGGCTGTTCTTTTCTTCAAGGAGCCCCTTGGGCTTGAGCAGCAAATTCAATGTCACACTAGTATCCGGCATGCTAATCAAGCTATGAACTTCCCTCACCTGGGAATCTGTAAATGAGCCTACATTATTTTTTCATCTTTAAGCTTCTTTCTTCAATCTTCAAGATCCTCTTTTAAGGCCAATCTGCTCAAATTAATGACTTCTTTAAAAAAAAAAAAAAAAAAAAAAAAAAAAAAAAAAAAAAAAAACCTTCAATGGATTCCCAGGGCTTCCCCAGCCAGACTTCCTATAAAGCTTTAACATTATCTCATTTAATTCCCCAAACGATCCTGCTTGAAGAATTTTTACATTGCCTCTATTTTCTCATGTCTCCTTACCTGAAAACCAGAGCTCAGGGAGTTAAAACAAATACTTACTTTATGTATGTGTGTGTGTGTGTGTGTGTGTGTGTGTGTGTGTGAGAGAGAGAGAGAGAGAGAGAGAGAGAGAGAGAGAGAGAGAGAGACAGACAGACAGACAGAGAGAGAGACAGAGAGAGAGACAGAGAGAGAGACAGAGAGAGAGAGAGAGAGAGAGAGAGAGAGAGAGGGGGGGGAGGAAAGAGAAAGGGGAAGGATTAGAGCAAGTGTAGGAGTCAGAGGACAATTTAGAGGGGGAGCTCTCTTTCTACCTTGTTTCTACCACTGTGCTGTGTACTCCAGGCTCACTGGCCCAGGTGCTTCTGGGTGATTCTCCTGTCTCCACTTCCCATCTGTGATACAGATGTGTGTTCCTGTGTCTGGCTTTTTATATGGGTTCTGTGGAATGAACTGTGGGGTTGAACTTTTACCCTGAGCCATTTTCTCAGTCCAGTTAAAACAAAAGCCAGTTTGACTGATCTCTTTCTATTGTAGCATAACAGCCTCCAAATTTACCTGGTCACCACCATCTTCAGAGGATCCTTTTATCTAAAGAACAAAATCACAAAGCAACTGAGCTAAATCTTCTGCCTTACATGTATTTCTTTACTTATAATAACTTTCTTACTATGAATCAAAATTAAGCAATCATTTTATATCATAGCACAATTAAGAAACACACAGAGATACATACACACACAAATGAAACCTTACTATGTATGAAAATATTTTTAAACAGCAATATCTATACTGATTCTACCTAGAGAAATATATTTCATGATACACTATGGTGCAACTTCATTGCCACAACTCTAAAAACACTGCTTAAGGATTTCTGTGTAGGGGCTGGGGAGATGGCTTAGGGGTTAAGAGTACTTACTGCTCTTGCAGAGGACCCAGGTTCAAGTCCCAGCACACAGGGCAGCTCACAGCCATCTGTAACTCTAATTCCAGGGAATCTGATGCACTCCTCTGAAATCTGTGAGCTCCTGCATGCACATGATACACATATATACACTCAACCACACACACATAAAACAAATAAATAGTTTAAAAAGAAATTCTATGTAAGTATATGTGTGTGTGTGTGTGTGTGTGTGTGTGTGTGTGTGTGTGTGTGTGTGTATGTGAAAAAAGAAAGAAAAAGAAGACCTATGTATTCCAGATTGACATCGAAAAATATTTTATCTCTAAACCTAAGGGGGTTAATCTATTTCTTGTCCTTTAAAATTCAGTTGTAAGTACACACACACACACACACACACACACACACACACACACACACACACACACATTATTACATTATTATAAAGGGTTGATGTCTACTTGTACATGAAGTTTCAACCAATTTTGGAATTGTCTTTTCAGCCTACTCTGACCCTCTCAAGAATTTATAAACTAAATTAAAATTACAAAATTTAATTTTCAGCAAAATGAATGTGAATTGACTATTCAAATTAGCTCATTTAAAACTTATAGATCAGAAGCTGGTCGGTGGTGGCACAAGCCTTTCATCCCAGCACTTGGGAGGCAGAGGCAGGTGGATCTCTGTGAGTTCGAGGCCAGCCTGGTCTCCAAAGCGAGTTCCAGGAAAGGCACAAAGCTACACAGAGAAACTCTGTCTCAAAAAACAATAACAAAAAAAAACCCAAAAATAAAAAACAAACAAACAAAAAAACTTACAGATCAGGATTTAAAATAAAGCCATTTATGCACTTCCAGATCTTCTCCGCTGATACATGATTTAGTCCAATAGAAATAGAATCCAATAGAAAATAACTGTTGTTTCCTTTAAGCAGTTCTGCATGTTTAGCATGAATTATTAGAAGGTCTTGTTAATAAAAACAAACCCAGGGCCTGGTATTGGGGTGAATGCTGGAAGATCAGAGAAGCAGAACAAGCCACAGCTACCTCACCTTGCCAATTCCTCAGCTGGTCCTGTTTCCTCAGACTGGATGCCTCTCAGCTGAACTGTGCTGCTCAAAAGCCTAAAAGCTTAACCAGCTTAGTTCCTGGTTTTCACACCATATATACCTTTCTATTTGTGCCATTACTTCCTGGGATTAAAGGCTCACTTCCTGGGATTAAAGGCTCTTGTTACCACGCCTGGCTGTTTCCAGTGTGGCCTTGAACTCAGAGATCTGCCTCTGGAATGCTAGGATTAAAGGTGTATGTACCACTATTTTCTGGCCTCTATATCTAGTGGCTGTTCTGTTCTCTGACCCCAGATAAGTTTATTAGGGTGCACAATATTTTGGGGAACACAATACCACCACATGCATGAATCTCCAATCAAAGATTAGAGTGAGAGATGTAAGCTACAATATGTTTGTTTATGACATATTTTCTTCTACTAAACTTCTAAAACACTGTTACTCCTATTTGAAGTCCTTCCTAGCTCCCCACCAGCATAATTTTCTCTGCTTCATGAAATTGCTTTCTATATATTCATACTTTTAATTGATTCATCTCACTATGTTCAGTTATTAATTCATTATTCCTATTAGTCTCTTTAATTATGAGTTGCCTAAAATCCAAGTCTCTACTGGCTCAGACAATTGATTAAAGTCCAGAGATGTCGACATAGCTTCAAGAAAGTGTTATGTTCTAAATGAGCAATTTTATTTAACAATTTACCACTTTATGGTGATATTTTATTTGTATTGAAATGTGATTTTATTTGTATGTTAATAAATAAAGTTGCCTGGGGGTCAGAGCTATTAGCAAGCCATAGCAAAAGCTGGGTGGCGGTGGTGCACGCCTTTAATCCCAGTACTTGGGAGGCAGAACTAGGTAGATCTCTGTGTGTTCAAGGATACAGCCAGCATGGAGACACACGCCTTTAATCTCAATACCAACCACAGAAGACCTGGAGGTCTGTACAGACAGGCAGTGACTAGGAGGTCATGTGGTTGGGTTTACAACGAGAAGGCAGAACAGAAACTCTATAAAAAAAGACAGACAGGAAGTCACTCTCTTTCGGAGAGGTAGGACAACAGCGACAGTGAAGGGTAAGGTTTTAGCTCTTAGCTATTGCTCTGACCTTTTGGCTTTCATCTCTGTATTGGCTCTGTGTTTCTTATTGAATAAGATGGTTACTTCTACACCACTTCTTCATATTCAATGAGCAGCAAAATGGCATCTTTCACAGAGCTGTCAGCAAGACCTTCAGCCCAAGGTCTGGGAATATGAGAAATAAATAAGCATTTATCCCGATGTGGGTGCCAGTCTCTCAGGCATGTTAGAATGGCTGATCTCCCTCGAGTAAAAAGAAGACATGTTCTATTTCTGCCTTGTTCCTGCTGCACCACAATCAACTCCACACAGTAGTTGCTTCATTAGCACATGCTGGGACAAGGTTAATGCTATATTTGTCAATGAATCATAATTAATGACAAAGGATTCATATTATATTTTGTCTATATTAATTAACTTTAGACAAAGTAACTGAAGATAAATATTAGCAAACTGGATTAAGGGACAAGTGTGGAGATATATGAACAAGAAAAGCACAGAACACATGGATTCAAACAGCTCTGAGGTTGCATATCATCTGATTGACAAGTCAATCTGTGGGTGTTGCTGAAACTCTCAGCCACTCCCAGTCTCACCTGAGCTTGCTCATCCTCAATCACACCTACTCCAAGGGAAGGTTTAGCAGGCATGCAATAAGCTAAATATGGGGCCTTTTAGTTTTCTTTGTTGTCATATTTCTGTCACAATTGTGACTTTTATTTTCTACAATTCTGGATGCACATATGTCATACCCAGAATGGTTTTCAGAAAAATTAAGAGCGTGGAAGAATTGTGAAGTTTCCACAGAGGACACAGGATATTGTCCAGTAACATTCAATGTCACTGACCTCCCCCTAGGCTCAAGGTGGCCAAGTGCTGTGAAGAGGACTAATGTTTATGTGGAAATCATTAAGCTAAAGCTCTTCTCTCACTTACCTGAGACACTGAGTCCAGTCAGGCTCAAGACCAGAAGGGTCAGCCCAGCAAAGCCAAGTTTCAGAGCCACCCAGTGGCAGCGTGGGCACCAACAGGCATCTAGGAAGTGCAAAAAATACTCTTGTTAAAACCACTTGAGTGCATCTGGGATAAAAGTCAGAGGTGATTTTGTTACTGCAAAAGACTTCCTTTAACTACAAGGACTTTTTCCAGCACTCTTAGTGGAGTGGCTGAAACTGGAGATCGTGCTACACTCTGTGTGCACCGTTTTACATGCACATACACACACACACACACACACACACACACACACACACACACACACACATATAAAAGCTGAATCTATTAAACATAAACAGATATTCACCATCATTATTCTTTAGACAAATACTTTTAACAGCTATTTGCATGGCATTGAGATCATCTTAGATGCTGCAGGCAACCTGGAGATTATCTAAAGCACACAGGGATATGCACATACATCCTGTGCAAATACCATATTTTATAGAAGAGACTTGAGCTTATATGCAGAGGTTCTGTAAGCAATCTTCTGCTGACAGTGAGCAACGATGAGGTGATACAAGACTGTCATGGAAGGAAACACCCAGTGCATTGGACTTGTGGAACGGGACCAAGGATCATCAATTCCTGCTGTGGGGGACATGCTGTTTGCTGGAAAAGGAGACAGGAGCAGACACCAGAGAAGACCCCAAGTTCCCAGGGATACTCCAAATATGAGGAGACTGGTATTTATAACAGCCTAGAATTTCTCCTGAACACTAGTGTTAACAGAGAGTGACAAAGTCCAGTAAATAATCCTAACACGTCATGTTTCATGTTCTATTTGTGTGTGCTATTTCATATTTCTCTTTTATCAATCTCTCCACCTTTGAAAATCCATTGTTTTTTGTAAAATAGAGAAAGCATCATACAGTCACCATTTTGATAGTTTTTACTAAAGCCTAGGAATAAGAACACTCATATTTTAAATTATTGTAATATAATGCAGCCCACTATAATAGTAGGACAATCTGTTTAACCTACATAAACCATAAATGTCCCCATCTGTGAAATGTCTGAGCAATATCTATTTCACAACCTTTTAGAATTTATGAAACAATTCTTATAAATTCCAAAGCCAAGTGTCTGATATAGGGCACTATTTAATAAAGGTAGTTTTGTTTCCTCTTTCTTTCTTTCTTTCTTTCTTTCTTTCTTTCTTTCTTTCTTTCTTTCTTTCTTTCTTTCTTTCTTCCTTTTTTTCTTTCTTTCTTTCTTCCTTTTTTTCTTTCTTTCTTTCCTTCCTTCCATCCTCCCTTCCCTTTTCCCTGAAAGTGTTTTTTGTTTGCTTTGTTTTGTTTTTGTTTATTTTAACTAAGAGTAAAAGTTATTTTTATGACTTTAGAAATCTCTATTTCTTACCCCTAAGATATAAGAAACTGCATAGATATTCTGTCCTAAAAGATGGGCTATGTGTCCTGTTGGGATTCTTCTGTATGAAATTAGATTGAACGCAACAGACATTAATCACTGAAGAGGCCATGTGAACATTGGTTATGTGGAAGTACCTGATTGGTATCCTCAGAATGCTAAGCCATCACCGCTGTTCTAAGCATTTCAATGACTCCCCTGAACATATGTGCCTATGGAATGTCTTGCAAACCCCTTTCTGTCTGTCACCATTCCTGCTAGCTTGATCTCCACACCACACCAGGCATGCATGTTCCCCTACAACACCACAGGCATGCTCTCCTTTTGCATTTGCAGGTCCAGCTGCCTAGAGGACTCATCTCTCTGATATTCATCCTTAGTCCTAGCAACTTCTAGTTCTTGACTCCAGCATCATCTCTCAGAAAGGCCTGCTATGATTACTCTGCTTGCTTGATGTGATTCCATCTCTAATGGCAAAAATCTTAATTTCCATTTAAATGTTTTTCTTACTGGTGTTCAACATCACATAGTCTTTGAGGCAGGTGTTCATTGATCACTGACTGCACACCTACAGTCATACAAACTCTAAAAGGAAAAGGATAGTCCTTTTTATTTACAGCTGTATCCTCATCATCTAGAGCAATGCTTCATACATAGTAGGTGCTTATTTTTGAGTGAATGAATGAGCTCTGCACACATTTTATCCATTCTACTCTCAAAGCAAACTTTTGGTCCTTTAGCTACAAAGCAGGTCACTATCCACATCCCTCTTTCTGTGTTTGTTTGTTTGTCTAATCACTATGCTGTAGCTAATGGGTCAAGGTGGTTTCATTTCTTTTACTGCTGGGTCAGTGTTTTATCTTCATTGGTTTTGCTCTGACTTTATTCTCCTGCTTTTGTCCTTCAGGTTTCCATTCAAGCTGATGGCTTGTAGGATAATAATCACAATGAGCATAGGTGAATTTTCAAGTCTCTTGATTTGGGATCATGGATAGTGGCATTGAGGAAAGTCTCATTGTCTTTCTCAACCTTCGTTTTCTTACATCCATTTCAACAAGCCCTTTCCCATCCTTTTGCTAGACAAGAACACAAGAAAAGAAATGCATGCTTCTTCCATCATGTGGCTCACTGGAATCCTAGCAGTGTCAAAGCCTCACTTTTCCCTGACCCTGATGTGAAGATGATAATGATGCTGATTTGATGATGCTAAGATGGTTTCCTGATTTTAATCTTTATAATGTAATAGTTTCTAACCAAAAGTCTTTTAATATTGATAATCACAAAGTTTTCACCATATAGGGATAATGTCAAATTGAAAATGTTGCAGTGTTACTGATATTAGTAAGTTTAGTTAAGTGACAGAATGCAATACTATCTCACGACAAATTGAAACATTTCTACCTCAGTTTCTGGACCCTTTTCATACTCCCTCATGTCATTCTGTCCTTTAGGTATTTCCTCAGTCTTGCACATTTCTTTCACTCCAATTACTAAACTCTCTGGCAGAGGAGAGGGCTGGTTTACCCAATGCTGACCGCTAGGGGTGCAACTGCAGTACAGCTGAGTCAAAGTGATTGCTCTGAACCTGGACCTGGAATGGGCAACTATTACAGCAAGTCCATAGTGTCTCTAAAAACACTTTTCTGTTTGTATATGTGAAATATTATTTCTTCAGACCTTGTAACTAAGGCTGAATAGGAGAAGCCCTGTTCATGTTTCATGAAGACCACTTGAATAAAATGGCAATGTGTAAGCCTTTTCTCTCTAAAGTTGTAGTTATCTGCAGGCAATCTGTCCTACATTAGCCACCACTCACAGAACCATTGCTTCTGAGCAATACTTTCAAATTATTAGTGTGTATATGTCTGTGTGTAAGAGAACATGATATTTTAGTCACAATATATATCAGAATTTAGAACTACCTTGATCTTGTCACAATAAAATAGATGGATTGACAGACAGACAGACAAAGAATGAGTGAAAGAGATTGCAATGTGCTGTTATATACAAATAATGTGATATTAAATTAAAGTAAGTCAAATGCTGAATGACTGTAAACAATTCAGAGTTTTAGAGTGTGGCAATAGTAAAAGTAATATTGAGTATCTCCAGAAGAAATAAAGACAAGATTTTAACTAGATGCCTATTTGATACAACTCTTCCAGGTTAATAATGGGAGTTGGATATATAGAAAAATAGAGCAAAATGTAAGAAATAGTACTCCTTAGTGTGAAAAAAATGTGATAATGTAATAATTTTATGCAAGAAGGTAAAAATATGGGCCAGAAAGTAGTAATTGTGAGGTGAGATCTTATGCTTCAGGCTAAAACTTCAAAGCAATGGTGACATGAGCAGAATGGCTCACCGGGAAGCTACAGGCCTTCCTTCTCCACAGAGGCATTGCTTTAGACATTACCATAGAGACCAGAGCACCTCTGTGGGACGTTTGGAGACTAGCTGGGAAGCTGCAGACCCAGCTCACTTTAAAACCAAGGGTATATATTACAGAGAAGGGGTGGGCAACTGGTGCAGCTCTCTCTCTCGTGCTTCAACCTGCAGAAGGTCTGGAAATATCCCACACTGTTGAGAGCCAGACCTACCCAAGACTTTCTCAGAGGCTCTGATAAAAGGGTAAAAGGAACATAATGCTTTGTCCTAGCCCAGAGGTGAACTTGGCAAGACCAGTCTGGAGTTGAAGCCAAGCCCTCAAATAACTTAAGGTTTTGGTCCTTGGAACATGGATTTTCCCTCCTATAAGGTAGGAGTGATCAGCCACTAGCCCACTGTGTACTTGTTCCAACATGCACGTTAGATGTTCCATGTTCTCTTTGTGTATCACTGCTTGTTTAGCTTCCTGCTGACTCTGTCCCATTTCCCCTGGCAATAGTGTCTAAGATGCTATATTTATTAATATGCTCACTTGGCATGAGACATAACTTCAGTAAGACCTCCCAAGCTTACCTGTTCTATCTTCTTGTCTCTGATCCTCTGGACCTTCCTTCTCAGGACCTGTCACTGAAAAACAACCTGTTGGTCAGGGTCATCACAAATAAGGCCCTCTTTTCCAAGAAACATATCAAAGTGCATGAATGGAATGTTCTGGTTGGCTTCCAGATACCTGAGAACTGTTTCTGTCCTACCATATTTGGATTGCCGATGGGCATGTCCCCAGTTTGGAGCCCACAGATAATGGAGGAAAGCAGCATGTTTGAGACACAGTTCATGGGTAGGCAGTTCAAAGAGAAGGAGGCAAGAAAGTAAGTTTGAAAAATAAAATAATCTCAAACTGTTGAAAATTTACCACAGATAAAGAGCCCATGCAAAGACTAAGAGAGATGGAACTGGTTTTTCAGATGCCCTAATCATAGAAAAAAATAAATAGCAAAAGATGGTCCAACAAGAGAAAGGAAAAGAATACATAAACTAAAGCATCACAGATACATAAGCTAGCTTGTAAATAATTTTATTTCTGTTTTTGCATGTGTATATGGTATGTGTAAGTGTGAATGAGTGCTCACATGTGTGTAGGCACACATCTGTGGTACATGTGTGTGCATGTAGAGGCAAGAGTTTGATATCAAGTTTCTTCTTTGATCATGCTCCACCTTATTTCCAGAGGCAGGGTCTCTTAATGAACCCAGAGCTCCATTATTCTAGTTAGCCAGCTTGTTCCAGGGATCCCCTGTCTTCACCTCTCAAGCACTGGGGTTGTAGATGGGCTACCATACCTACCAGGCATTTACGTAAGTGCTAGGTGTCTGAAGTCTGACATTTGTGTTTAAATGAAAGTAAATGACTTACAGAACCTTCATTCCAGTTACTGGACACAGAATCTTTAAAACTTGTCATAAAGATGTTCATTTGCACCACAAAAAACTGTAGAAGAGCAATTCATGGATAAATTATACCAATGAAGATGTAGAAACAGCAAATATAACTAAACAGAAATAATTCTGGAATAAAAAAATATAATTGAACTGAAAATTATGGTTTTGGGGGGTGTAGTAGCACTTTTCAGCTAGCAGGTGGCGGTGGTACAGCTCCAAAGCAGGGCCTGCTGGTGATCTTGGCTGACTGCAGCTTGCTGGAGTCGAGATGATGGGAGCCGGAGCCGGCACTCAGGAAGTGGGGGAGTGCCTCTTTCGCTGGTCTCGGGGCTAAGAACCGTGTAGGCGTTCCCTGGTTATATGGAACTTTGCAGGCGGGTTTAGGTACCCGCTAGCCGTGGAGGAGGCTGAGGGTGGGAGCCACCCAGGCCTTTGGAATTTGCCCCATGTGAGCGCCAGATATTGGTGAAATTATTAAGGCCATTCCACATAGTTAAAAGGAGATTTATTTAATGGCGTAACTTACAAATTAAGGGATAGGGAGGTCGCGGGGTCTGGGGAAGGTATATCGCAGTCCAGCGGTGTTCTCTGGAGCTCTGCTTGGCCCACCTCCACCACCTCCACCGTCCAGGGTCCCGGAAGAGAGAGAGAGAGAGAGAAAGAGCACAGCCCATCCAGATCTCAGGTCTCCAGGCGCCTCCATTGGCCCCGCCTTGTAGGCGTGACAGTTGCCGAAGTCTCAATGGGGGTTGGAACTTCCAGATCAAAGCTGGAATGGCTACTCACTACAGTTATCCCCATAGACTAATGATGCTCTCCACCTTCGTCAGTGAGGCTTTTATTTTCCCCTTTGAATGAGCAATGATCAATGCAGTATGAGTGTAACTGCTCAATGTCCTGAGAATAAGTAACTGTGAGTGCTCAGCCTTAAATGGAGTATTTATATTAATTCCCATCTAGTGAACATCATGGGAGAAGTGGGTTAAAAGAATGTAAAAACATCCTAAAATTCTGTCTTCTGGACATGACATGGTCATTACATTCACCAACTCACAGCAGCTGTGGTTATTTGCACAAAATCAAGCCAGTCAAAGTTCTGGCATGGGCCGGGTATGGTGTCACATGCCTGTAATCCTAGCATTTGGGAGGCAAAGACAGGAGGTTCTCTGTGAGCTCAAGTTCTGCCTGATCTTCACAGTGAATTCCAGGACACCAGACTACAGAGAGATAATTTCTCAAAAAAAAAAAAAAAAAAAAAAAAAAAAAAAAAAAAAAGTCAGCATGGTTGGGGGAGGGGCTCACAAGGCCCCACACCTTCCTGAGGAGCAGTTGACAGTTGTTAGGAAAGGAAGAGTCAGTATTATTTGTGGCTGTGGCCACTGGTGGGTTGCTCATGCTCTAGTGATGGCCCTACACCTATGCATATACAAGTAGCATTCACTGAACTCAACGGGTTATAAATAAGAAAACAAAAACAAAGGAAAAACCATTCAGTTGGGAGAGGATGTGTTGAAGAGGGGTCTGGGATGAGTTGGAGGAGAATGATATGAGGAATGGATATGATCAAAATGTACTATGTGCATATATAGTTCTCAAAGAATGAAAACCTGTGTCTGTCTCGCACTGTCTCAGACATACATACAAACTCATTAGAACTGATAATGTAATTTAGCATTACATAATATTAAATTAAAATGCAGAAAATATTATCTTTTTGTACAACATGCATCATTTAAAAGCAATTTAAAAGGAAAAAATTTTTAAATTCCACTTCCAATATTATGAAACAGACTGAAATATTTAGGAATGAAGTCAGTTATAGATATGAAAGATTTATACAGTGAAAATGGTAAAACATTGTTGAATGAAAGTAAGCAGACACTAACTAATGAAATCTTGAGTTAATAGGCTGAATGAAAATATTGTTGAGACTATCGTATTATACAAAGTATCTACACTTTCAAAGCAATCCTTATCAAAATCTTAATAAAATGTTCACAGAAATAGAAAAATTTATCCTGAAATCTAAATGTATTCTTAGAGGGTTTTAAACACTAAAAACAGACTCAGAAGACACATGCTGCCTGATCTGAAAACATATTAATAATCTATTGTAATCAGAACAATGTAGTATTGGCATAGACACAAACAGACCAAAGGAAAGGACCACAGAACAGAGAACATGAATAAAATGTTGTGTGTATGTTCAAATTATCTTAACAACTGATGCAACTGCAGAAAATAGTCCCTTCAATAAATAATGTTTAGAAAACTGGAAATCCACATACAGAGAACGGAGTATGATTCTCATATTATACTATTATATGAAAAATTATCCCAAATTGATTAAACAGCTAAACATAAAACCAAAATTATAAAACCCCTATAAGAAAAGATAGAGAGAAATACCCATGACATTGCACTTGGTAATGGTTTGTGACAACAAAAGCAAAATAGACAAGTGAGTCCACGTGAATCTAAAGAGTTTTTATAACAAGATAAAAGGAATATGAGTATGGCAGTTTGAATAAGAATGGACCACATATATTTGAGTGCTTAGTCCCTAGTTGGTAGAACTGTTTGAGAAGGATCAGGACGTGTGTCCTTATTGGATGAGATATGTCACTAGTCATGGGCTTTGAGATTTTAAAAGCCCACACCATTCCCAGTCAGTTTTTTCTCTGCCTCCAATTTGTGGATCAGGATGTAAGCTCTTGGCTACTGCTCCATCACCATGCCTGCCTGCCAACTGCCATGCTTTACACCATGATGACTATGGACTAACCCTCTGGAACCATGAGGCCCAATAAATGTTTTCTTTTATAAATTGCTTTTGTCATAGTGTTTCTTCACAGCAATAGAAAAGTAACTAAGACAGAAGTTGGTGCCAGCAAGTGAGGTGTTGCTGTGACAGGCCTGACCATGCTCTGTTTTGGAACAATGTGGAAGACTTTGGGAGTTGGGACCATGAAAGTGGTTGAATGCTATAAGCAGGCTTAATGGGTCATCCCAGTAGGAGCTTGGAAGACAGTAGTGGTGAGAGCAATAGGACCATGGAGGCAGCTCAAGAGGATTCAAGGGGACAACACCAGCAACTGAATTTAAAGACTACAGTTGTGATATTTTGACAAAGAATGTGGCTATTTTTTACCCTTGTCCTAAGACTCTCCCTAAGCCTCAATAGAAGAGTTTTGAACTAACTTCATCAGTGGAGAAGATGAATCTCTATATAAATTCTCTATATATGGAGAATCTGAAATCTCTATATAAAGCTGATTACTGTTATGTAGAACTACAGTGAAAAAATGTAAGCAGGGCAAAAGAATGTACAGTTTGAAGAGAGAAAGAGTACAAGGAAATGTAATGCTGGAACCAAGGTTTGAGCTGAGGAAATAGGAGAAATGGAATACTGGGTATGAAGCCCTCAGCGCAAAACCTCACCCAGCTAATCCTGCAATTTTTGAAAAGGACTAAGGAATTATCTGTTCCAAAAGAGCAACAATAAATCAAAGTTTATGCGAATGTAACTCAAGGAGGGGGCCAGTTTCCATCCCAAACAAGCAGTAGAACTTGGCAGTGTTGGCCACATGATTCTGGCTTTAGAGTCATGGAGAACACAGAACTAAAGGATTAGTGGATTCTTCCTCCATGGGTATGGAGAGCCTCTGAGGCCACGTGTGTGGCAGGGGAGGCCCAGAGGCATCATTCTATGAAACTGTCAAAATGAAGCTTGGATTTCATTGGAAACTCCAAGATATTGGAGATGCCAGAGCTATGGAATAGCTACCAAGGAGAGCTCTAGATAGGGAATGGAATCAGCCCAAGGTGAAGAAGTATGTTTCAATGAGCAAAACTGGAAGGGTGGAGCCATTGGGATTTGACATCCAATGTAGAGCTACAGGATTTGGAGTTTGCTCTGCTGGGTTACAATTTTGCTTTGATCTATTATTTCCAAACTGTGCCCCTTTGCTCCCTTTTGAAAAGGTAATGTGTATTTGTGCCATTGAATCTTGAGTGTATGTAATTTGTTTTTTGATTTTACAGAGGATTACCATTAAGAGATTGCCCTGTGTCTCAGAAGAGACTTTGGACTTTGAACTTTTAAACAGTCTTGAGACTGAAAGATTATGGAGACTTCTGAAGTTTAATTAAATGCATTGTGTATTATGGTATAGCCAGAAACCTGTGGGGGCCATGGAGTAGAATGTGGTGGTTTGAATGAGAATGGCTCACATAGGCTCATATGTTTAAATGCTTGGTCCCCAGAGACTTGTTTGGGAATGAATAAGAGTTGAGATCTTGATGGAAGAAGTGTGTCACTTAGAGATTTCAAGAGCCAACTCCATTCCTAATTACTTCTGTCTCTGCCTCCTTGTGGATCAGGATGTAAGCTCTTAACTACATATCCAGATCATGCCCACCTGCCAGCTGCCTTGTTCCCCATGATGATCATGGACTTTAATAATCTGGAACAGTGAGTCCCAATAAATATTTTCTTTTCTAAGTGGCAAGACATCAGTAATGATCATGAGGATTAAAATAAAAACACATCCATAAAAGACTCCTGGTTTCTAGTTCTGCATGAAGGAGCTTGGAAGTTTCCAGTTCATCCTCACACAAACACCAACGTGAACCAGCTGGAAATGAAATAGCTCTTCTAGGCTGTGCAAGAGATGTGAGGACATAAGACAAAGACATACTCTGCCCAACACTGAAGAGACAGAGGAGGGTGTTAGGATCCAGCCCTTACTCCTGCACATGCACAGCTTGGGGTCTTGTTCTTGCATCTTACATCATCAGTGGGAGCAGGCGACTATGTACCTGTCTTAAAAAACCAGACACAGACACCCCCCCCCTCCTCTCTGCTCTCTCTCTGTTCCCTCTCTGCTCCCTGCTCTCTGCTCTGCTCCTGCCATCTTTCTTTCTCTCCAGGCCTGGTTCTCCTCCCTCCTATTCCCTCCTTTGTAGCATGAATCTTAAAATGTCTTATTAATAAAAAACAAACCCAGGGCCTGGTATTGGGGTGAATGCTGGAAGATCAGAGAAGCAGAACAAGCCACAGCCACCTCACCTTGCCAATTCCTCAGCTGATTCTGTTTCCTCAGACTGGAAGCCTTTGAGTCCTCATCCAAATGGATCTCAGCTGAACTGCACTGCTCAAAGCCTAAAAGCTTAACCAGCCTTATATACCTTTCTGCTTTCTGTCATCACTCCCTGGGATTGAAGGTGTGAGTCACCATGCTTGGCTGTATCCTTGAACACACAGAGATTCAGGTAGATCTCTGCCTCTGGAATGCTAGGATTAAAGGCGTGTGCTACCACTGCCTGTCCTCTATGTTTAATATTGTGGCTTTTCTGTTCTCTGACCCCAGATAAGTTTATTAGCATGCACAATATTTCGGGGAACACAATACCACCACACTCCTTCTTTCTAATAAAGCTCTTTGTAACTCTGGTAGTCGTGGCCATGGCCTGTGACTTTTCCACCAGAAACCAGTGCCACCACCAGCGCCATTTATCATAACCATTAGAGAGAGGGCAGGAAGCCATGTTTCATGAGAGCCCAGTTCAGCACTACACTCCCATCATGGTGCTACAACGTATTTGATCACACTGTGAACTCTGAGATTGCATTAATT